ATTAGAGTAATAATTTGATATGTCCACAGAGTGATTGAGAAAAAAGATCCCCTACCCTCTCCACCTTCTCAGATCGAAAAGCCCCACAAAACTTTCCAAGCACCTCCTTATTCCTCTAACTCCATCCTCTGAATCAAGGTTTAACTTCATTGGCGGTTTTGGATCAAAAATACAAACAAATTTACTGCAACACTGTGCCAGTGTGCCTGGTTCGTGCCATAGGGATGGGTCTCAGGGCTTTCTGCACGTGAGGTGTAATAGTAGTGTTGCTGACTTCTGGCATCATCTGGGGGATGCCTGTGGGGACTAATCTTGATTACATTAATTGAGATGGGAGGATCTGTTGATCATGGGTAGCACCACTTCTTCTGGCTGGGTATGAGTTATGTAGTGCAGGGAACTGAATAGCATAGGCCTTCATTTACTCTCTGGCTCTGCACTGTGAGTATGATGTGACTAGCTGCTTCGTGCTCCTGCTGCCCTGGCTTCCTTGCGCTGATGGCCTGCACCCTTGAACTGTGAGCCAGACAAACCCTTGCTCCTTTATGTTGCTTCGGTCAGTGTTTCGTCACAGCAACAGGGGAGAGACTAAGACACTGGGCTGTACTCCCAGTCTTAAGTCTGACTGCCTCATTCAGATACTTTCCAGAATTTTCCAAAAGATTTCCCTGCTTCTGCTATTATTATATTTGATACAGGTCAACACATATCTTTGCCTGGTCACTTAAGATGTCCTCCCTCAAGCCAGGCAGTGTGGCATACATCTTTAATCCCAGCACTGGGAGGCAGAAGTGGATGGAGCTCTTTGAGTTTGGGGCCAGCCTCATCTACAAAGTGAGTTCCAGGACAGCCAAGGCTATACACAGAAACTCTGTCTCAAAAAACCATAGTTAATAATTGAATGAATGAATGAGAAGAAAGATTTCCTTCTCAAAGGGCTGGGGATATGGCTCAGTGGTAAGGAGCACTGGACGCTCTTCCAGAGGACCAGGGTTGGATTCTCAGCATCCACACAGAAGCTCAAAGCTTTCTGTAACTTTAGTTATAGGGGGTACAGTGCCCTCTTCTGGCCTCCAAGGGCACTGCATACACATAGTATACAGACATACACATACAGTAATGACTTAGAACAAATCTCTCCCAATATTGGTGTGCATTTGCAGAGTGTTTCTACTGAGGGCTCCTCGCTCAGGAGCAGACAGTGCCGCCATTTGTCTCAGGGAAACCTGGACCCATTTGCAGGGAAAGCAAATGAGGCGCTTGGGTGAGCACTGCTCTGTTGCCTTAGCGGCTTGCTCTGCATACATCAATCTGCTGGGTCCCCTACACTGTGGGGGTCCATTTATCTAGATATCTAAGGTCATTACGTGACCTTTCACTAACCCGGAGATTGGGGGAAATCTTCTTCCCTCTTTGGTCCTCTTATGGAGTCTGATCTAGAGATAGGCAAATCTTCCTCCAAAGAAAGTCTACCCTCTCCTCCCCTTATTCTTTCAGCCGTAGGTCAGCCAAGGGTCCTGGGACACATTTTTTGTTTGTTTTGAACTAGAGTCTCCCTCTGTAGCCTAGGATGGTCTAGAATTAATTAGGTAGCTCAGGCTTTCCTCATATTCATGGCAATCCTCTTGCCTCAACCTCTCAAGTGCTGGGATTACAGGCATGAGCCACCATTCCTGAGGTCCAGGATACATTGCTGCCCACTTTTTGTGCAAACTGCGCCACTGGCACCTCACACTCACTCTGAAATGCAGGATGGTGTTAAATGTCTTGATGCATTTTCACAAGTGATAGAGAAATAGTGTCACTTTATCATCTTGATAGTCTGTATCTTATAATTTGCCTCCTTTTTATTTCCACAAATTTCAGGGAGCAGTCATTTCCTTCCCTGGAATTCACTCTCCTTTGAAGGAAAGAATGATAGATACTCTGAGCATGGATCAACTTATATGTAGACTGTGCTACCTGGCGCTGTAATGACTGTAATATTTAAACAGAAAGAAATGGCCATTTTATAACTGAACCTTCATTGACGGTCAAGGAGGACAGCTACCAGGCATGAGTGGTGATGGTGTTTGTACCATTTCTTTGAGACAAACTAAACAGAGTGAGGACAATCATCCACAGCAGGTGAGGGTATGGTGGTTTGGGGGAGAAGTGCATATTCTAGAACATGTCTTTCTGATGGAATCCAGGCAGGATATATGAGAGAAAATCCTTAAAAACATCTTTGGAATCTCTGTTTTAGGTGTGTTTAATCCATCCCTAAAGGATGCACTTTCCTTGGAAAACAGTCTTTGATAGGAGGGGAAAGAAGACTCTAGTAACCCTTCTTATCACCTGCTGAGATAAGATTTCTGAGAGACTGAACACTTGTGGGCCTCATAGTCAAAATGAGAGTCTACTTATCCAAGACACATGCTGTCCAAATCCAGAGTGCCTAGCAGAATTCAGAGTGAAGGCTGGGAGGAAGGGTACTGAGCTGTGTCTGCATGTGAACTGGAGTAACTTCAGTAGACTCTGGAGATGGAGAATCAACAGAGGTGAAGGGGAAGTGTGTAGTTTGGTACAAAGAATTCTATTTGTTTATTTTTGGGAAAAGATTGTTGTACAGGCTAGACTCTAACTTCTGGACTCTAACAATCCTCCTGCCTCAGTTTCTCAAGTAGCTGAGACTATAGGCACACAACATCAACCTGGATGGTACTAGGAATTGAATTCTAACTGCACTCACTCCCCGTGGTACATGGAGAGGGACATGGTGACCTGACGAATTGCTCAATTTGCACAATGAGCATCAGATAGCACGACAAGAGGCAGAGAAAGCATGTTCTGTAATGTCCTCCTGGGAAACCACAGAAAACAAAACAAATCAGATCTAAGATTTCCTAAGCTTTGAGACTCAAATTCTCACTTACCATAAATGCAACTTAGGAAGGAAAAAGAAAGGACCACCATTTGCTGGTTGAAATCCAAGGTATTGACATAAATCTATTAGAATGAAACATGTCGTGGTTCTCAAAGGCAGACAGGCAGAGGTGTGTGTGTGTGTGTGTGTGTGTGTTACGTGTTTTTAAACAGAGCACCCCAAGAGCCAGTCTGGTACATAGGTCAGATTTCATTTTTCACAAGCTGGGCCATATAAATGTTGGCTATGACTTTCTCAAGCACCAATGTTTGGGGCTTCTCAACATGTTAGAAGGGACAAAAAAGGAACCCCAAACCATTATATGTACACATAGTATTAGTTCCTCTGTCTTGCATGTGAGGTGACCGCTGAAGGACACAGAGGGAGCACTGAGCTAGACCCTCTTCTGATGGCACTGTGACTTTGCTCCTTTCACTAAACAGCTGACACTACTTACAATGTCGGGTGGTTCTGCCAACCTAGTTAGGAATCCAAACCATTCCAGTCTAGGTATTGCATGGTCTGTTCTGACATAATCATTACTGTTCCTCTTCCACAGACAGTTCATCCTTGAGCACTTACCTTATTTCTGCTCTTAAACCAAGTGTTTGGGGGTAGACCTAACATCATGTTCAACTTAAGAAAGAACATGAGACCCAGGTGTATTGTGACCTCAGAGTCCAACTGAAGCATATGTACACAATCTCTTTAGAGGTATCATGTCAAAAAGATACTTGTGCTGAGACTGTTGGGAAAGAACCCCCTTGTTCCCTGGAGCTTCTAGTGGTAAGGATGGATGAAGTCAGGAACTGGAGGCCACTAGCACCTGCAAAGGAAGCCAAGGAAAGGAAAGGCAGAAGTGAGGATGGAAGGACCTGGGTCCTAGAGATGTTGCCTGAACTCTTAAATCAACACGCATTCATCAGAAGTTCCAAGGAATTTTTTTAGTTAGGTTATTCAATGGATATGCCCTTTCAGTTAGGCCAATTAATTATTAAAAATTAATAATTTTTCTATCTTTTAAAGTAAGAAATTCCAATGAATATAAAAAGATTTCTATTGTTTAAATAAAATAACTTTAGGAAGAAAGAGAATGAAAATCATCAAAAAATAAATTTCTGAATAACATATTAATATTTTAAGAATTTGAAATGGGCTGGAGAGATGGTGCAGTGGTTAAGGGCACTGGCTACTCTTCCAGAGACTTAGTTTAAATTCCCAACAACCACATGGTAGCTCACCAATGTCTGTAACTCCAGTCCCAGGGGATCCAACATCCTCTACTGGCCCCTAGAACACCAGGCACACACTTGATACACACACACACACACACACACACACACACACACACACACACACATATATATATATGGACAATATATCCATAAACATAAAATAATAAAGAAGGAAAAAAAAGGATTTGAATCATTTAGAATTATATTCAGTTTCAAGTTACAAAATGCCTATCTAACCAGCCTGGTGCCATGAGCCTATAATCATAGCACTTGGAAGGCTGAGACAGGAGAAATATGAGTTAGAGGCCAATCTGGGCTTAGTAGTAAGATACTGTTGAAAAACATAAACCAAACAGCCAACCACACAAGCCCCGCTTCCCAGAAAAAAAAAAAAAAAACCAAACCAATAAGACAAAAATGATAATCTAAAAACAATCTGAAAAGCATTCTTATCAGAATGTGTAGCTTTTTATAGAGCACCTGGCTCAGTCCAGACCCTGGGTTCCATGTCCAGCACTGTGAACAAGCACACTAAAATCAAACAGTGACAAAAAGGGTATCACTTTATCATACAGAAATTTAGAATCAGAGAAGGGGGAAGTGCCAGGGTTGATTTGCCGTCAAGGATCCAGAGTCCTTTTCATGTGGAACTTGGAAATACAGGGGCTAGATAGATAGTCAGTGGTCAAGCAGACTGTTGTTCCTGCAGAAGACCTGGGACTGGTTCCCAGTAACCACACGGCAGCTCACAACCATTATCAACTCCACTTCCACGGGATCTGATGTTCTCTTCCGGCTTCTGCAGGTACCAACTATGCACACATATGGTGTATTTACATAAATGCAGGCAAACCACTTACCCATGTAAGATAACACCTAGGGCATAGATCGGGTAAAGGTGGAACTCCAAGACCTAGAGTGAAGACATTTTTGAGTGGACTGTGACAAATCTGAGAAGCCTAAACTCATAAGTTGCCCTAAGGTTTTTCCCCTCTCCTCTCCCCCCCCCTTTCCTTGTCTTTCTTCCCTGTCTCTCTGCTTCTCTCTCCTCCTTTCCTAACTAATTCTGAAATAGTTTTAAACTCACAATAAATCTCCAAAATAGTACAGAATTCTCAGGTTCCCTTCACCTACTTCTATCCAATGACAGTATCTTATATAACACCAAAGCACCTTGTCAAAACCAGGACACTGACATTGGTACAATATTATTAACCCAAGCACAGAACTTATTAATACTAACCAGTTTTATAATCGTGTGTGTGTGTGTGTGTGTGTGTGTGTGTGTGTGTGCATGCTTCTATAGAATTTTATGGTTTGTGTAGTTTCAATTACCTGATCACAATTAGGATACAAAACTGTCCCATCACCACAAACAAACTCCTGGCTTAACCCCTTTCCTTAAGTATAACCTCTGGCAAGCAATTATCTGTTCTCTATACAATCTTGTCACCTTAAGAATGCTAAATAAGCTGGAACTGTGGCACATGCCTGTGGTCCCAGCATTTTGGAAGTAGCGGCAGGAGGGTCAAGTATTCAAGACCATCTTCAGCTACATAACAAACCTGAGGCCAGCCTGGGCTACAGAAGATCCTGTCTTTAAAAGACCAGGAAAAGAAAAAGCCTGTGACTAGCCAGGCAGTGGTGGTGCATGCATTTAATCCCAGTGCTTGGGGGCAGAGGCAGGTGGATTTCTGTGAATTCAAGGCCAGCCAGAGCTGTTAAACAGAGAAACCTTGTTTCAAAAACAAACAAACAAACAAACAAAAAACAAAAAGAAAAAAGAAAAAGCCCATTAAATAAGTGGAAACATACAAACATACAGTATATAACTTAAAAAAAGTTCCTGAAATCTATCAGAGTTGTTGAAAGTGTTGATATATTGTTCTTCTTTATTATAAAATAATATTCTATTTGCTGAGCTTTGGTTGGTAACTAAGACACTCTCTTTTTTCAGTGTCTGAGGAGACTGGTCTTCCATTGACTGACCTCTTTATTACTTCATCTGAAGTAGTCCTGTCTCACCCAGGGGAAGATAGCTTACTAACAAAAATCCAACCAAACAAAGCCAGCCCTGTGCTGTGTAACAATGCTTTGGTCAATCTCTCTCTCTCTCTCTCTCTCTCTCTCTCTCTCTCTCACACACACACACACACACTCACACAACCTACAAAGGGAGCTACACCATAGCCAAGATGTACACAGGTTGCAACATCTAGGCCTGTGTGGTGCATCTTATGATGTTACTACAATGTTAGCAATGCATTTCTGAAGTATTCCTGTCAGGTGACACGTGGCAGCTGCATTCCAAAATTTTGTAAGAAAATTGAGAATACATGCAGGAGGATTCTAGAAATGCTCCACTAAAAGGAGCAGCACTTAATAGAACACTTCATTTGAGCTGATCGACATGGGAGCACTTACAAGATTTTCTAATGTAACATGGGACTCATACTAAAATGTTAGCTTCCTTTAAGTAGGTTGAAAAGCCACAACTTTTCTGGTATAATTTTTTTGGTAGTGCTGAGGATCTGTCTTATAACCTGACACACATTGGGGAAATTCTCTACCATTCAGCTACATCCCTTGCACAGTTTAAGGGGGAAGAAAAAGGCTGTGGGAGCAGGGAAAATTTTCGCCTGAGGACATTCTTCTAGGATATGGAGAAACACTTTGGTGAAGGTACCATCTGCATTTTTAAAAGAGCTCACTGACATAGTTCCTACATCTGCAGACTACGGGGTGATGGTAGATTTTACCATTGTGTTCTTTGAATTCAAACTACACTAATAGATACCAGAAAACAATGTGTATCCACCAAAACCAAGGTGAATACAGTACTAATGTGGCAATCAGAATGTCTTAATTCCCAGAGTTATTTGGTTGTGGCTATTAATAACAGCAGATTAATTAGATATACTCCTTATTTAAGTAAATTTTGATCTATGGAATCATAAAAACAGCAACTCTGGTAAACACAGATATGACTTGAACCACTTCGGGAGGGATCATGGCCTTTAGCTAGTGTCTGGACATGAAGTATAGTACAGTCCCCCTAGAGACAGACCATGTGACATAGTTGAAAATCTATCGTGTGATTTTTTTTCTTCCCTTTTCTTTCAAAAAGAAGTCAGAAGCTCCCTCCCAATCAAGGGCATGAAGGAAAGAGATTTCCCTTTGAGGAGTCCCTCCATACCGGCAACAAGTATGCTAATGCCTGTGGGTCAGAGGGAGCTTAGGAAGTTATGATTAACCCAGTTTTGGCTCCAGTACGATATAGTGATTCTAGGTAACCAACTGTAGTTACTTCTTTACTTTCTGGGAATTTCTGCTTGTTTTGTGTTTTAGTTATTGTTCTACTACTGTGATAAAACATCATGACTAAGGCAACTTATAAAAGGAAGCATTTAATTGTGGGCTTGCTTACAGTTTCAAAGGATTAGTGCACGGTCATCATGGTGAGGAGTGTGGCAGCAGGCAGGCAGAATGGCACTGGAGCCGTAGCTGAGGGCTCACATCTCATCTACAAGTTGAAGGCAGAGAGAGAGAGACTGATTGGGCCTATCATGGGCTTTTGAAACTTCAAAGCCCACTCCCAGCGACACATTTCCTCCAACAAGGGCACATCTCCTAATACTCTCAAACAGTTCCTCTAACTGAGGATCATGCATTCAACCACACGAGCTGATCGGGACCATTCTCATTCAGGACCACAGCCTGCAAGCCATTCTAATAAACCCCATATACATACATACATACACATATATATATCTTCATTCTCTCAGTTCTGTTTCTCTAGAGGACCAACTACTACAGTCACCAAGCAGTGTGCACAGGAGGTAACAGCAGGGTGCTGGTTCCAGGAATCTTAGACTCTGCTTCCACACTCTTGGAAGACGTCACTGGCAAGCATGTTTAAACTGAACATATGTGACATCACTTTTGTTAAATGGAAGTCTGGTAGAAGGGACACAGTGCTGCTGAACACTAGAAACAGCAGCCCCTTTGTTATCTGTAAGGGAGGAAGAAGACAGAAGTCAGGTCTTGTCCTGCTTCTGCTGCAGCTGTGGGGGTTTAAATGCTGCCCTCAGTCCTGGGCATCTGAATACTTGGGCCTGTTTGGGAAGGCTTGGGAAGTGTGGCCTTGTTGGAAGGGTGTCACTGGAGTTGGGCTTTGCAAATTTAAAGATCTGCGTCATTTCAAATTTGGTCTCTGCTTCCTGCTTGCAGTTTGAGATGTGAGCCCTCAGTGCTCAGTGTCAAGTCTGCCACCTGCTGTCACGCTGCCTGGGAAGCCCAAACCTTCCTCTGTAAGTTACCTTGGTCATGGTGTTTATTACAGCAATAGAAGGAAAACTGATACAGGGAGACTTTGGCAGTTTCTGGATACCTATACAGGCAAGCCAGTTCCGCAGCTGCAGGATCAGGGTGTGTCCTGTGCTCACAAGCTCTGTCTCTGGTAGGGGCAGTGACAGTGGAAGGTGGTGTTGGGCTCCTTGTCTCAGTGTTAGTGTGAATGACAGACTTTGGTTGCAAAACAGCAATAGATCCAACAACAGCAGAAGCTACTCACTCAGCCTCAGTGGCAGTCACGTGGCTCCCATCCTGTAACAGGTCTTTCTTTATATCGCTAGCTCTCTAATAATGACATGGAGACTTTTTATGAATTATGAAAGCTTGGTCTTAGCTTAGTCTTATTCCCAACTAGGTCTTAAAACTTAAATTAATCTGTTCATATTAATTTATGTTCTGCCATGTGGCTCCGTTACCTCTCCTCAGTACCATATGTCTGACTTCCTCTGCATCTGGCTGGCAAATCTCCTGTCTCAGATTCTTTCCCAGAGTTCCTATGTCTCCCCAGAAGTCCTGCCTATCTTCTCCTGCCTAGCTAGTGGCCATTCAGCTTTCTATTAAACCAATCAGAAGGTGCCTTTGGCAGAAGAGGAAGGACAGACACATCTTTACACAGTGTACAAGAAGATTATCCTAACTCTATCCCTTGCCATCTTTTGCTTCTCTAGTACCAAGAGATGGCACTTTCTAGTGCACCGATGTCTTTTCACGTCTGCAGCTCTCCCAACACTTCCTGAAGTCACTTTGCTATATTAAATTTCTGCTGTTTGACTACTTAAGAGCGATTTGTATTTTTAAATGTGAATAGCCAGTGATAAGTGCACGTGGCACTCAGCGGGACTCCATTTTTCCTCTTTCATGCAGATGTCCTGAGTTCTAGACGATGGACTGTGTGTGTGACGTGTGGTATCTGGAGTAAGGTCTTAGGAGTTCTGGTTGTCTGTCTCCTCCCTCCCTGTTAGCTGTCTTAGGCGACAGAGAGCAACAGCATGAATCCCTGCATTACCATGTGGAAGAAACCACTCACCTGCTTCAGCCTCAAGAGTGCTTGCAAGCATTTATCTTACCTGTGGTCAGAAGAGAAGAAATTGTGTAAGTTTTGAATGGTGCCAAATATTTCCTCCAAAATGCAAATAAGGTAACTTATGTGTTAGACAACTGCATGAAAACTTTCCTAAATATTTTAAGAAATCTTTTTATAATGTCTATTTTATAGGGCAAGATACACAATGTGGATATAGAACATTTTTTAGGGAGTTTGTGTGGTGGTATTGTGTTCCCTGAAATATTGTGCACCCTAATAAACTTATCTGGGGTCAGAGACAGAACAGCCACAATATTAAACAGAGGATAGACAGTGGTAGCACATGCCTTTAATCCCAGCACTTGGGAGGCAGAGCTAGGCAGAAATCCATGTGTTCAAGGATACAGCCAAGCATAGTGACTCATCACACCTTTAATCCCAGAAAGCGAGCCTTTAACCCGAGGGAGTGATGGTAGAAAGCAGAAAGGTATATAAGGCGCGAGGACCAGAAACTAGAAGCATTTGGCTGGTTAAGCATTTGGCCTGGTTAAGCTTCAAGCTTTGAGCAGCAGTTCGGCTGAGACCCATTCTGGATGAGGACTAAGAGGCCTCCAGTCTGAGGAAACAAGAGCAGCTGAGGATCCGGCGAGGTGAGGTAGCTGTGGCTTGTTCAAGTTTGAGGTCAGTCTGGGCCTCTCCCCCAAAAAGAGAGCCACTAGCTTAGATTACCTCTTAAATGACTTCCCAGTTTAAGAATCTATAGCTATCCATTTAAGGTAAAGTGAAATTCTTGGTTTTATCTGCTTGTTTTTTGAGACACAGTTTCACTAAGTAGTCTAGGCTGGCCACAGTCTCCCAAATCCTGAGTTACAGGTGTGAGCAATGATGCTAGGCTTGGGAAATAAAATGCTATTAAAATTTTCTGTGATTTCCTGGGTGTGATGGTGCAATTTGAGAGTGGAGGCAGCGAGTCTCCAGGCTGAGGCCAGAATGGACTACTTAGAGAATTCTGTTTCAAACGAAATCCTCGAAGAGAGGGCACTAAAGTCCAGAGGCTGGGAGCGTAGCTCTAACTCAGTGGTAGAACATGTATGTGCTTAGCATGAGAAAGAGCCTATGTCCAGTCCCTATCATCCCCTTCCAAAAGCCAATTTAAATATATGTCATAATAAATAGAATCTTATGCATTATCCTGACTCTGCACGAAGGCAAGGCACAACTTTCAAAAGGCACACCACCAGTCACCCACTCTGGTTTAAAACGTTTGCAATTTGTACGGGGAGTACACATCACTTTTAATCTGTGCTGTCATGTGCCCGTTCTCGCTCCCGTTAAAAAAGAAGCCCCCACCCCGCCCCGAAATGTGCAACCCTCGGTTCACACCCAGTGCACCTGAGAACACCAACTCTGACCAGCGGGGCAGCAGCTGGCGGGCGGCCGCCTCACACTTCCTCTGGCCCCACTTCCAGGCCTTCTTCCTCACAGCCAATGGGAAGCCGGGCTTGCGGCCGCCCCGGCCCCGGCCGCGCGCATGCGCACTCCCCCCGCGTCCCGGGGACGCTTAGGGATCCGTTTCCTTCCCTTTCTTTCCTGGGTCGCGCGGCTCCCCGAACCCTTCCCACCCGGTTCTCGCCGAGGAGCACGTCGCAGGGCCGCACGAGGCGCCGCTCGGGCCCGGGACGCGGCGGCACCCGGATGTGGAGCCGCTCTCGCCCGGCGGGGACTCGGTGGCGGGGCG